CAAGATACAGTATTCCAAATAATACCGTTTTGTAGTACTCGTGGAGCTCTATCATATCTAATTTAGTTGGTTCGAAAATATTGATTCTGAAAGAAGTTATGGCAGATCCCGCGAAGGCCCGGATTACAAGTATGGTGGGATAGGAATGTTCCAGAACCTCTATCAATAATTTATACACATTTTTATCAGCTGCGAGAAAACGAATCCTTCTGATAAGAGGAAATAAATCAGTTTGATTTCAACGAAAAAGTTGATATTTTTTATCAGAAAATAAGAAATTTCTGGAAAATTGACCCTAGGAGCTAGAATTTCCAGAAAAAAACAATTGGTCAATTCGATGGAAGTAAACATTGAAATAATGAGAAAATTGGGGGAGGGGGAGGGGGGGGGAATTGAGAGACGCAGAGAGGAAGCAAAAGAGAGACAATTCGTCAGCTGGTCTAGGTCTATTATATATATATAAATGTATGTAATGATGGGGCGACGAGAGAGAGAGAGAGGAACAGAATAGTGGTTTTTGAAGTGTTTTTTTTTGATTGGGGGCAACATTTTGGTGGAGATTTTAGACTAAACGACACACAGACAAAAGTTTAAATTTGTTTTTGAAATTTGGAATCTTCTATAAGAACTAGAAAATTTTGAATGCATAGAAATGTGTAGAAAAATATGTCCGGCAATTTTTCGTATAATATTTTGTACTGTGGTACATTTGAAAATTTGTTCTCAAAATTTCAAAAAAAAAATTCGATAAGATCGAAACTGTAAAACATTTCAGTTCGAATCGTCTTGTATCTCTTTTTATTTCATTCTCCTATGAAAACTGAAAATTCTAGGCCACTTCTAGAAACGTGTCGAATTTTCAATTTTTGAGGACATTCAAAAAAAATGGAGTTTAAAAACCTTTTAGAAGTTTTGGGTCTCAAATTCCATTTTTTTTTGAATGTCCTCAAAAATTGAAAATTCGACACTTTTCTAGAAGTGGCCTAGAATTTTCAGTTTTCATAGGAGAATGAAATAAAAAGATAAAAGACGATTCGAATTGAAATGTTTTACAGTTTTGGTCTTATTGAATTTCTTTTTTAATTTTGAGAACAAATTTTCAAATCCACAGTACAAGGTATACGAAAAAAATAATAATTTGTTTTTCCAGTTGATTTTCGGTCATTGTGACCATTTTTATGAGTCTGGAGCTCGGCTGTCAAGTTTCCAAGGGAACTTTTGAGGGTCTAAAACAGACCTAGATGAATACTTTGCATTCACAGAACGTTTTTTTTGGACTTGTCACAGAAATCCGGCAAATATCTTATAAACTAGGAATTTTCNACAAATTCTGTGAATGCAAAGTTTTCAATCTAGGTCTGTTTTAGACCCCCTCAAAATTTCCTTGGAAACTTGACAGCCGAGCTCCAGCCTCTTGAAAATAATCAAAACGACCGAAAATCAACTGGAACTACGTTGTTTTCTATTGACCGATACTGAAGATGTGTGCCGTTTAAAAAACAAATCCCTCCCAATTTTCGTCAGAAATCGACAATTTCGGCACCATAGAATAGGCCGAAACAGCCATTTTCAGAGATTGTTAAACCGAAAAAATTAAAGTTTCTCGAATTTTCCAGAAGATCGTCTGAAAACCAAAGCTCTTGATAAGAAATGTCGTGTACTCGTCGAACAAAACGAACAATTGATGGCTCGACTATGCGAATTGGAGATGTCCCACCGTACTACAGACGGAGGAGGAGGAGGAGAGATGGAAACGGCGACACGACGAATTCAGGAGCAAGAGGAGAACATTCGACAGATCTCGTCGGCGTTGGAATCGGAAAGAGACGTTAGTCAGCGGTTGAGAGAGGCCAAGGAGGCGTTGGAGAAGGAGTTGATTGGGAAGAGGAAGCAGGAGGAGAGCCAACAGAATAGGATTCAGATGGACGTGGAAATGAGCAGAATGCAGGCGCAGAGCAGTGAGTTTTTTTTTTTGGAATTTTGGAATTCTGAAAATTTGTCAAAAATGAAGAAATTTGAGAAATTCAGACTCAAAAATTAGGAATAATTCTTTAAAAATTGGAGAAAACTAGAATCTCTGAAAATCTGAAAATCTGGAATTTTTGAATTCTGAAAAATTGCGAATCTGAAAATTAGGGAATGTGGAAGTCTGGAAATGTGGTGTTTTCAGAATTTTTGATGTTTGGAACTGGAGATTATAGGATTCTGAAATTCTGGAAATCGAACATTTCGGAATGTTTGGATTTTAAAATACTGGGATTCTGGAAATTAGAAAATCTTAATTTTTGGGGTTGAGATTCTCTGAAAATTTGGGGATTTTCTAAATTCTGAAGTTTTAAGATTCTGGAAATTTTTTTTGAAAAATCTGAAATTCTAGAAATTCAATTTTTTGAGCAATATTTTTTTTCCATGAAATTTTGTGCCTAAATATAAAGCAACATCTCTAAACATCTCCAAAATAATCCTATAAAAAATATAAGAAGACGTCACAAAATCCGAAATTTCGAAAGGATCAAAAGCACCCACATTTGCCATATTTTAGCTTTAAAAATTGTTTTTCTAATCATTCCACTTGCCAACATTTTTAGGTCATTTCTAGACTATTTCATGACCTAAAAGACTATTTCATGACCTAAAAGGTTTAATGACTCCTTTCTAGACTATTTCATGACCTAAAAGGTTTAATGACTCCAAGTATGCTAAATGTTTGCAGAAATCGACGAAATGTCCGTTGAAGTGGACGCGGCGCGTCGCAAGGTGACAGAGGTGCAGGCGGAGGTTGAGCAGCTGAGAGCCACCAATTTTGACCTTCAAATGACCATCGAAACGGCAAAACGAACCATGGAAGAGTGAGTTTTAAGCAAAATTATGGTCGAAAATAACCTCAAAAAAACATAGAAAACGCTGAAAATTTGGCTGAAAATGGTCCAAAACATTTCTTAGAGCTCATTTCTGAATATTTTCATGTCGGTTTTTGAGTTTCCCGCCCTTGAAAACCCTCAAAAACATTGTAAAAAAGAATTTGCCACCGGTGGGAGTCGAGCCCCGTACCTCTAGATCCAAATTTGCTCGTCGAAAATCCCACTCGGCCATCCGAGCACTTTCTCGGGAAAGTCGATTTTAGAGCATTTTTAGGCTATTTTAAACGGTTTTAAGCCATTTTAAGCCTTTTTCAGGCCATTTTAGACAATTTTTAATGTCTAAAAATGAACTTTTCCAGACTCGCCGACTCGAATGAGCAATTTGAGAAGCAAATTGAGCAAATCGAGGAGGAGCAAGAGGAGAAAGATGAGGATTTGAAGCAGGCGATTTGGGACGTCGACACGTTGACACGACAGAATGAGGCATTGAGGTGAGCAATCCATTAAAACTACAGTAATCCTCACCACCGAAAAAAGTCCCGATTCCAGGGTCGAGTTGGACGGTGCACGACAAGCGTTCCATGAGACACGAGCCCTGTCAGAAGAGGTCAAATCCATGAAGGCCGATCTTCAGAAGCAACAAGAATTCCAAAGAGCTCAATTCGAAGGTTCATGCTCCAGAATTCCAGAAGCAGAAGACGTTCCAGAACGAAAGACGTCGTTAGAAGTTCAACAAGAGGAATACATTCAAGCTTACGAAGAGAAAATCGAGGATATCAATCTGGAGATTGCTCAGCTCAAAAAAGAGCTTGAGCTGAGCAATGGGAGGGCGCCACAACGAAAGACGACGGCGGTTTTGGAGCCGCCGAGTGTGGAAAAGATTGTGGAGCAGATTCAGATGACGTCGACGTCTTCAGCTCCTTCAGAATCTCAAATGACGTCTTCGGAAGCTTCTCCAGAGCTCCTTCGAGCTCATGAGCAGCTAAAGAAGGAGATAGAGCATTTGAAGACCAAGAATGCAGATTTTACGGAGAAAATGGAGGTTTGTAGGCCATTTTAGACTACTTTTTAGAAATTTAAAACCACTTTCAGACAACTTTTTGACTGAAAATTGGCTGAAAATCGCCTTAAAACTCATTACTGAAAATTTTCACTTTGATTTTTGAATTTCCCGCCCCTGAAAACCCCCGAAAACACTTTTAAAAAAGAAATTGCCACCGGTGGGAGTCGAACCAACAACCCCTAGATTCAAATTTTTCGGCAAAAATCCCACTAGACCATCCGAGCACTTTTTTGGAAACGTCGATTAAGAACCATTTTTAGGCTATTTTGGGCTGTTTCAAGCCGTTTCAGACTATTTTTAACCATTTTAGGCTGTTTCAGGCTATTTTTAGCTGAAAATTTGGTTGAAAGTGGCCCAAAACCCCATAAGAACGCTTTTCTGAACATTTTCACTACGATTTTTGAATTTCACGCTCTTGAAAACCCCCAAAAACACTTTTAAAAAAGAAATTGCCACCTGTGGGAGTCGAACCAACAACCCCTAGATCCAAATTTGCCCGTCGAAAATCCCACTCGGCCATTCGAGCATTTTTTTGGAAAAGTCGATTTTTGACTATTTTAAACCATTTTTAGGCTATTCTAAGCCATTTTGAGCCTATTTTGGACTATTTTTAGACCATTTTCAGCTAATTTTAGGCTTTTTCAAACTACTTTTTCAGATCATTTCCAGCCAAATTTTAACATTTTCAGCGTCTCGAAATGGAAGCCAAACTATCTGGTGAGCTGAACGTGGAGCTCGGCCGTGCGATGCTGGAACTCGAGGAGCACAACGAACTGCTCCGGAAAGAGCAAGCGGCTCAATCGGCTGATGACGTGGCGACGGGGCGAGAGTTGGAGCTTCATGTGATGATGGTCCAGGAGATGACGGAGCAGATAGCATCGATGCAAGCCAAGATTAATGAGATGGAGGCGGTGAAAGAGACGCAGAGAAACGAGATGGACCAATTGAGAGGGGAAGGTGAGGAGGAGCTGAAAATAGCCCGAATTTGGCTGAAAATAGTCCAAATTGGGGTCTAAAATGGTCGAAAATCCGCTAAAATGAGCCATATACAGTTTTAAAAGGAGTACTGTAGAGAAATTTTAGGGATTTTTAATTTTGGAACCTTTGGAGGGTTACTGTAGATGAAAATTTTCCAGAAAAAATGAGCAATTTTCTAGCGTATTCAGGTCTAGAATGTGCCCAAAAAGTGGTCTAAAAACGTCCAAATCTAGTCGAAAAAAGTGTGCTTAATTTGGTCTTAAATTGCCTAATTTCAGTCTAAAATGGCCCGAAATTAGGCTAAAAATGGCCTAAGTGTGGCTCTAAATGCTCCAAAATTGGTCTAAAATGACCTAAATTCTGTCCAAATTACTCAAATTTGATCTTAAAATGGCTGAAATTGGTCTAAAAAAGCCGAATTCAGATAGAGAATGACTCAAATTAAGGCTAAAATGACCTGAAATTAGGCTAATGTAGGCCAAATTAAAGCTGAAATGGCCCAAATTTGGCTCTAAATGCACCAAAATCCAATCCATTCCCATTTCCAGCCACCACTGCCCAATCCGAAGTGCATCGTGTCAACTCGGAGCTCCAACGAATGCTCCACAACCTTGCCGAGTCGGAAATCGCGAGAAAAGATGAATTCGAGACGTCCAACGCCGCCCACGACGAGGAAATTCGAGAATTTTCCATCAAAATGGAAGATTCCAGAAGACAAATTTCGGATTTGGAGGTGAAATTGAAGGAGGCGGAGGAGGAATTGAGCATTGCGATGGACAAGATTGCTCAGTTGGAGGTGGAGAGGCAGCAGATGGCTTCAGGAGCTCCAGAAGCTCAAGGAGCTCAAGGAACGCTTCAGATTGCTCAGCCGTTGACTTCAGAGGCTCCAGAAGCTCCAGAAGCTACAGTATCTCTTCTCCACAACGTCACGAGCGATATGAACAAGCTTATCGAGCTGAAAGACGAGCTGGAAATCGCCGTTCAAGCTCTAAAAGCCGAGATTTGGAGTCTGAATGGCCAGCTGAAGGCATCGATTTTGGATCGAGAGGGTCTCGAGGACAAAATCACGGAGCTGGATGATCAGGTGGAGCGGGAGAAGAAACGAGCGATCGCTCTAGACGTTGAGCTACAGGAACAGGTGGATTTGACGGATCGAGCGGTCCGGAGAGCAGCCGAGGCGGAGAATGAGTCGAATCATAGGATGGCTGAGTGTCTGGAGAATGAGACGATGAGGTTTGTGGCACCGCCTCCAACGCCTTCTNCAGATCTCGAATCCTCCTCTTCAGTGCCTCACACTTCTCCTCTTTCCACTCAATCTCTCCTTCCAACTCCTCCACTCTCTGTCGTCTCGTCGTTGCCACTTCTGGAGACCCTG